CTTGGGTGGCAGCTGCTACTGTGGAGATGGAAATGATCCATTGTAAAACAAATACGTTATGCTGTATAGAAAAAGGAATGATTGTTTTTAATTTATTTTTCAAAGAGACACTGAGAAGTTGCTTACCTCTAATGCATCTTAAACCAAATGTGACATGTGTCATGTACTGCTAGTTTGGTGAATCAGAACTTGAAAAAGCCCACCATTTTGTAGGATTTTGTAGGATTTGTGGAAATGTGATTCTTTTGGACATGGCATCTCCATAGAAAACAGATATTGGAATGGTGCTGGCATGGGTGCTTGCTGATATTCTACCATTGCAGACTATTGATCTTGATAAATAGAGAGGTTGTTGCACTGGGCTGGTAAGCAAAAATGACCATGTTAATTTAATCACCATGGAAAGGACTCTGCCAAGTTAAGAAACATACATTTTAATTATCGGTAGACATGCATATTTGCATTGTGCTATATGCACATTTAGCTGTGACACCAATAATACCTTGGTTTATTTAAACAGGAAGAAGTTTTAAATGACATTTTTGTTTTCATTGATGAATTTTGATTTACTCTTCTATTTTGCTTAGTTCTGGCTTTCAATGTGTGCTATTCCGTGCATCTCCTACTAAGCAGATGCTATTGTATTTGCAATACTAATCAAAAGGTAACTTAACTACAAACTGTATTAAAATTGTTATATTAAAAAAGAGTAAGCTTTTAGTTATATGGCTTTTACTAGTAGTTATTACTTGTTATAAAGATCATGTTCTATGAAATCGCTATGTCTGAAGAAGAGCTTGTGATAAAAACTAGGAGTTACAACAGAAAGAATTTAGAACAATTAGTCAGTAGCAAATGTTATTACCTGTATTTAAACAGGATTTGGATGTGATTCAAGAATTTAAAGAGCCATAAATTCTACATGAACACTGGAGAAATTGATTGAAACTGTAATTAGGTGTAAGCAGTGAGGCACCTGGGAAATGATGATATAAGAGGTTCTGACTGACTTTTTTTCTCCCAAAGGAAAATCATATCTCACCACTCTTAAAATTCTCCACATGATATGTAAAGGATTAGGGGATAAGGAGGTTGACAATTTACTTGGTCTTTCTGAAGACCTTTGGTCTTCTTCAAAAATAAACAGTGCGTTGTCTCAGATCAAAACTTTTAGAATAAAATATGAAACAAAGAATTTCACACACAAAAAAGAAAAAAGCTAACAGTCGGTGCATCAAGGTTTGGTGTTTGTTCCAGTGTTGTGAAATGTAGAAATGAAACACTTGGAGAGAGAGAGATTGAGCATTTAGATACAAAAATTTGCACATAGTACAAAGTTATCTGGATCAATTGCGGCCAGGGGAGGCATCCTGTGTGAGGGCCTCTTAGTGGGGATCTGAATGTCCTTTGAGAATGGGCAGTGGGATGGACATTTTAATTTGCGTCTCATCTGCTGGAAGTTCTTGTCCCTGTTACAAGATTGCTAATTCTGCCTGTCATGGAGCCCTGCGCTGTTGAGGCCGTGGGCACTGCCTGGGAGAGAATGCTGTGGACACTGTAAAGAGCAGTTCAATGCATTTGTTCAAATAGAGGATGTAGCTTCATCTGAATATGTTAGGTGTGATATTGGTTCATCTTGATGGGATTTTTGAAGAATGAGAGGAAGTTCAGAAACTTCTGACATGACAGAGTCACAGAAAAACTCTCACGACAGGGTAATAGAAAAGATTGTGACTGTCTTTGAAAGGAAAGAAGTGGATGTTTTGGACGCTGTGTTGAGGGACATGATTTAGTGAGAACTATTGGTGATAGGTGGATGGTTGGACTGGATGATCTTGTAGGTCTTTTCCAACCTTGGTGTTTCTGTGATTCTGTGAAGTGGACAGAAATGACAAAAAAGTTTGGCCAGGAACTTCTATTTTCCCTATCTTATAGCAAGAACAAAGGGAGAGACAATAAATAAAGTGAAATACTACCTCTTTCAAACCATAGTTCAATTGCTGAATTCACTCTGGTAGGAAGGCATTGAGGACAAAAGTGCATCAAAATTCAGAAAAGGATGGGCTATTCTGTGTATTTCCAAAGGAGCTAGATGTAGGATAACTGGAAGTGATACTGCATTTATCCCTCAGGTCAGACCTATTAGATAGTGTTGAACTATTTGTCTAGGTTAACTGAACCATCTTTTAGATTTTTGGACACTTTTATCTCTGAGGATTCAATAAATGTTTTGGAAATATATTTTCCTGACTTCATTACTGTCTCCCTTTAGAGACTAGCCATCTTCCAGGAAAGACTGAATTCATTACAGAAACAGAATTCATTACAAAGATGTCTGTGGACCTTCATAGGTTCTTAAGCTGTAAACTTTACACTCCAGGTGAGGCAGTCTGCCATTTCCCACTTTCTAGAGCTGCTTAGGAATGAAAATGGCCCATAGAAGCTACTGGCAGAGAAGGAAATAAAAAAAAATTGAATAGCTGTTAGCTGAATGTGTAGGTAGGAAGCAACTGTCCTGAGTTTCTTTTCCCAAGATTTCTTCCTTGCCACTTAGTTTTTGGATATTGAATCTCTCCATCAATAAACTGGGTATAAGAATATTACTTTACACTACCTTGTCAATGGGATGTTAAATTTAATAATTGGAAAATGCTCTGAGACTTCTGGATGAAAATCTTCCTGGAGTGATGATGCTGGAAAGTAGCAGAGCCACACTAAATAAACATGCTTTTTAAAAACAGTTGCCCTTTTTTGACCTTAAAATCTACTTTTTCCCATGGGTGTTCAATATTTCTGGAACAAACAGGAAGTAATTTTACTTTCATAAATGTTTTACTTCTCCCCTCTCTTTATTGCTCATTCCCTTTACTAATGCGTTCGTTTTCTGGGTTTATCGCAGACGGGCATGGCTTGTCACAGTGAAGACACATTTGTTACTGCTACCCTTGAGCTTGCTTGAAGCTTCTTGTCTTTCTGAAAATATGATTATCAGTTGGATTTTGCAGTCCTGGAAAGTTCCCAATGCAAAACAAGTGCCCTTTTGCACCTAAGTGCACAACGTTGAAAGCAGCCTAGCCCATGGCCAGAGATGATTGTGGAGGTTCCTTAGTGATTTGAGGTTCAAGTGTTGTGACTTGCACATAAATCAAGTTTGAAGTGCTTTCTTTCTATTGAAATGTTTGGATTTAGCATCCAGAGAGAAGTAGCAGGAGTTTATAGATGGAATTTTGATCTTTGTGATTCTCCATCGACTTGTCTTTTCTCTAGCCCCAGTAAGGGAAAAGTTGGAGAAGGTGGCATAGTAGGGTATAGAGGGTCTGCAGAGCTTCATGCTAAAAACAGAGGCTTGATTAAATAGGCCGCCTTGTGATGAGAAGGAGTCATTTCTATTGATCCCCTCCCATTGTGTGGGCTGTCCTGGGAGTTTCCTCTGAAAATCCCAATGGTTTGAATTTTCTGCATGGTTTGTACTCAGCCTCTCCCTCCATGAATAGAATAGCTTTTGCTGGAATTTTTGCTGGAATTTTTGCTGGATTTTCTGTGGTTATTGGCTGAACAGTGTTCTCTCACTTCAGAAAACTTGAGCAAGCATGTTCTGGAAGCACTGATGAGGGACCCCAAGTAGTTTATTGGCTTAGAGGTTTTCACGTAATGAGCAGACATATTCCTGGGACACAATTGCCCCCAGGAAACAGATTATAATTTACTGTCTCAGGTGGAAGTGTTCATTCATTATTTGGATTGCAGGAGTGATTTGGAGTTTCATAAACACATAAATTTATGTCCTACAGAGTTTACAACTCGTGGTGATAGAAAAGCAGGCCAGCCTCAAGCAGATCGGGAAACATAATACAGTCCTATAAGATGAAAAGTAAACAGAACTGTGAAATCGGGACACCAGATGCTGTTTTGTAAGCATCAATTCTATACATTATTGCTTGGTAAATATAGTGGCTAAGAGGAAGGAATTAATTTTAGAAGGGAGGGAGCACTTGAAAAATCCATGCTTTGACACTGTCAGGTAAAGAGACATTCAGGATGTCTTCCTGCCGTAGGATTGCTCTGAATGAACACCTACACAAGTAGGGTAGAGGCCAAGATCTGCAAGGAAAATGTAACTCTTTCCTGGGCATATTTTAACATCTTGCTAAAATTAATATGCTATATTTGCCTGTCTGCTGCACTGTCTCATAATCTAGTGACAGAATTTTGAAGGGGATTTATGCTCTGTACCTTCACTTGCATGGCAAGTTGCATCAAGCTTCCTCATGAACCCTCTTTATCATTTGAAGTCCCATGCCTCAGGCGTGCCCCTGAGCCACCCGTCAGTTCTTAATGCCTTGGCTGAGGTTCATCCAGCTCCATGAACTAGATTCCGTGCTTGTAACTGTTTGCTGGTGGTTCTTCTTTGTACAGTCCCATTTAGAACAAACTGAAGATTTTATCTAGTAAAAAATGGGAGTCAATATTCAATGAAAATTCAAGGCAAAAATTCCTTTTGGTTGTTTTGTTTGTTTTTGAATTGGCCCCACATATTCCACTTCCCTGTGTGGGGAACGAGCCCTTCTGTAAGAAAATGCTGCTTGTAGATGTTCCGTATCGACTCTGCCAGAAGCTAAATTGCACGGAACTACTTCTTCACTTCAAAAGATCAGATCTTCATATTTGTTATTTCAGTGTCTTGGAAAGACTTGGTTTTGTTCTTCAATTGAAACATAGGAAGTTTACATTAGGAAAGAGAATTTTTTTCCCTCCTTTTATTTCCTCTTGATGTATTATGTCTGGCCCTCTTGTCCTGTAAGCAAACGCAGCTCTTCAAAAAAATATCAGATTTTCAGCAAGATAGAAACAAATCCTTTAAGGGAATCCTTAGAGATCTGGAGAACTCTCCTTCAAGATAGAAGCAAGCTGGAGGGTTTGTTAGTCTTCTTGTTGGCTCTGTCCTTCTACTTGTGAGCTTCTTGGGGAGATACGTGAAGTTGGTCTTTTTTGTTTTTCAGAAGTTGATCTGCCTCTGAAAAAAGATGGCTTCACATCAGAAAGTACAACACTGGAAGCCTTGCTGCGTGGAGAGGGAATAGAGAAAAAGATGGACACTAAAGAGGAAGACCCTATACAAGAAATCCAGGTAAAGGAGATACTTCTGCACTGACAGCAGTGCTGATTTTTATGATTTGTCTCTAAGCATAGCAGATTTTGTCCTGTTGCAGAATAGTTCATCTGTTGATAGTTGTGTCATTCTACTGTCAAAATGTTATAAAACCATTGTGCTACACTGTGATGCTCAAAATGAACTGAGGATCTCACCCTCTTCTTCTGTCACAGACATCTCAGTCACTTGGCTGTGTTCTGCTCAGCTTATGTGTTGCAATTTACAACAGTAGGAGACAGTTGCATAAAGAATGAACAAGTGGAGATGGGTCCCAACCGTAAATCAAATTTTAGTGTCTCAGATTTAGAATGAGTTTGAACATTGGTTTGAAGTTGTACTTGCAGCAGTTGACTCTTTAAAAAACAAAAACAAAAACAAAAACAAAACACCCAAAAAACAAATAATTAAATACATTCTAATGTTAATTATCTCAGTTATTATTAGCAATGAAAAACATTGCCTCTTTACATGCATTATGATTGGAAACTTATAGGACTATTTGTCAAGATTCCATTTCATCCTTTAACAATATAAAAAAGTAGAAACACATTTGTTGGTCTGTCACAGAAGGAAACGTAAAGGGTTCATAAGGGTCTCTTCCTTCACATAGGCATTTTAAATTGCTAGGAAAGCAGGCTTCTCCTATGGGAACAGCAGCAAATATTTGGTGATGGTAAAACACCATTGCACTATGAATCTCTGCTAGTGATGTTTAGGGAGAATCATTAGCAATATGTCTATCTTGATCATTTTGGCTGAGATACAAGATGTTGCATCTATACCTAAAACTAGTAAAAATTAGAATAGGCAGACCTATGCCAAATAAAACAGAAATGTGCAGGCTTCAAATATATATTATTTAGAGATCAGTCCTACCGATCTATTTGCCAGTGTTCAACTGAACATGTAATGGCAGCAAAATTAGGTCTTCCAGTAGCACAGATAAAGGAACACCATCAAAGAGGAAGCGTCTTATGTACAGCTGGTACATAACAGAGTAGAGGATTTTGTCCTGCCATGAATTAGTATTGAATGTGAGTCTGTATCATTTACTGGAGAAGACTTAGAATAACCTTTTAACCATGTGTCAGAAAGGCTAAACCCTTTCTGCTGGGAATTCAAGTGATTATCCTGGCAGTGTCATCAAATTTGCACATGGTTACTTACTCTCCATGTCTTAAATTGATACTGGAATTTGAAATGAAGAAAGTGGTTTGTAGCATTCCTCTTAACTTCACTTGTGTAGTGTTATTAGTATAAGCTAGCTCCTTCTTGCCCCATATACAATATAGTGTCAGCCTTCTCTTTTTTTGTTTTTGAGATAATTTGAGACATGAAGAGCAACGAAAATATAGATTCATATCAGTAAGTTTGCATATTTTCTTACATAGCACTAGCCTTTTCATGCACAACATTTTCCAAGTGCTGTAGTTAACTAAGACCAAGTTATATGCAATTGCGTGAATTTTAAAGAAATATTTTATATATACAGAACTGGAACTTGTTCAGCTTTTCCACTTTCTAATGTTTAGCAGTCAAGTACTATGGGAAGTTAGATTTCATGATGGTCTAATCTTATTAATAGCTTCCTGAGATTTAGAAGTAAAAGAAGAAACCAAATGAAGAGTTGATCCTCTACTGTGTTCAAAGAACTATTTGTCATTTAAAAAAAGGCACTGTCCTATGACAGTCTTAAAAATCTAGCTGATAAAATAAGTATAAAGTTGTACAGCCGGACTTCCAAGCACAGGCTTTTTCTTTAAGTTTCTCTTATAGTCTTTCCCCCAGATTCACAATTCAGTGCTTGAGATGTGTAGGAAGAAAACAAATCCACTGTGATTTGCTTCTACGCTCTCCCTGTGTTGGCTCTCAAACAGCTCTTAACTAGAAATTATGTGAAAGTGACAAAAATAGTAAAAGGTTAAAGAAAAGCTGTCCCATCAGTTTAAAGTCATGTATTTGAATCTGGAAACGTTGTAGTTTAGGTGAATGATGTCATAGTACCCACATAATGAATGGCAAGAGTACCTCCAGCTCCTATCTTTATTTGCAACAGGGATGCCAGAGATTGAGGGGGATCCCAGCAGCTTTCCACATTAGTGTTGTGATGGTTTATCTTGCCATCATCTGTGCTGTGTCCAGTTTGTACATGTTTTGTCCTGGATTTCATTCTGTTGAGGTCGTGTTTCAAAAGGTCAAGTTGAAATTCACTGACACTGTTATGTGAGATGATGAATTGTTATTGTAGTTTTCATTATTATTCCTATTAAATAATTAATTGAAGTAACTATTGTTCTCATCAGCTTCAATGAGGCCTGCACTTCTTCAGTATTCATATGTTGCATAACCCTTCTTTTCCTTCCTTGACTGATACCAGTAGCGTTTTTTAATAAGAACTCCTTGAAGAACTAAGGGTGAAAGGGAAAGCAGATTTTGCTTTAGCAGAAAGAAATGCGGATTCTGGAATCTTATTTAGCATTATATCATTAATCAAGTGTAATTTAATAACCTGCAGTCTCTATGGTAAAGAGCACTAGTTGTTTGTATGTGCCAGCTTTTCTTCTAACCGTTCCTATTTATTGTTCAACCACAGAGGGTTTTAGAAAACGATGAAAACGCAGATGAAGTGAATGAAGAAGAGGATTTGGAAGAAGATATTCCAAAACGAAAGAACAGGCCAAGAGGACGGGTAGGTGCAATCAAATAGAAAGGAAGGAAGCAAGCTTCTGCTTTGTGGTGTATATTTTTAACATGTGTTGTATATGCAAAGTGTATATCCATGTAGGTAATTTGAAGTGATGCAGTCAGATATTTTTTTTACTTTACTTTTTGCAAATTATAATGTGAAGAGACTACACTAAGAGTAAAAACTTGGGATGAATTATTTATAGTAACATATTTATAATTTTTATGTATAATTATTATGTTGACATCCTGCTATTACAATGCTCTTATTCTAAAACAGCATTTACTAATGAAAAAAAAAAATTGATACATTCAATCGTGACACCAAAAAAACCCCAACAAACTATTAATAAAAGTAACTTGAACTGCATTCATATGTTTTGAAGCTTTCTCCAAGGTAGTGCTTTGTGGTTGACATTTTGGCCCTCTTGAACCCTTTGGCAAATCTTCCATTTGCTTAAAATGGGCAATATTATCCTTAGGGGAGTCTGCGTCCCTTCTCTTACCTAAGACATCTTTTCACAATTTCAGCAGGGCGCCAGTTAAGTAATAAAGCTAATGTTTTAAAACTTGGAATCAGCATTTTTAATTGTGGCCCCTGAAGCTAGGCATCTGAATAAAATGAACATAATTCTCAGAAGTTTCAAGCATTTTCATCTCTCCTTGGTTCCAGTAGATGCTGCAGGGGCACAGGAGCTCTAGAAGTACCTTTTGATGTGTTTGCAGAAGTCAAGCAAGAAGGGCCACATTTTAGACCAAATAAGCAGGATATAATAGCTTTTGAGTAAGAGAGGGACATGAAACCACACTGAATACTTACAATGTGCTTATGCATCAAACCCTCTCTTTTGGTTTCTTCTGTTGTTGTATTGTTTCAGTTTTCTGCTCCTCTTTATTTTGGAGCTTAAATTCTTTAATATAAGATCAAAGCACTTTATTAACTGGATAAGTATATATTTCACCTTCCTTTTTCTCAAAATCACCTGAACCAGTTTCTTTCTTTCTTTCTTTCTTAGCCAAAGACCCCCACCTGGAAAAAAATTTTCCAGAAAAATGTAAGTTTCAGAAAATTTGTATGAACCAGTAACCAAAATGAGGAGTTAGAATCGATAACGCACACAAGCTTGACTGTAGCTATCAACAAGTATTCGAGGCTAACAAGTATTTTCTAATAAGCTGCTCTCACGTAAATTGTGCATGCGGATTAGGGTAAGTGAAGGGGAGCAAACAGCTATAAAAGCCTACTCAAGAGAAGGGAGTATGCATATTTCAGGCCTACACAAACACAGTCCTGAAGTTATTATGTGCAAAGTTCTACTCCCCTGTTCAGGAAATTGATTGAGAATATCTGTTACTTTCTTTCTCCTGCATTAGAGAAAGGAGTTGGAGAGTAAGTGTCCTATTCATTTTAAAGCATACATGTACAACTTATTTCTGCCCTGGAACTGGCTCCCTATTAGGAACAAGAACAGCAGAATCTCCTGTCTTTTCTGTTGCTAACTCCTGCTCTGCTAGTGCCCTGGCTTCACTTGGTGCAAAAAAAGAGAAGTTTGAAGAGTGCCAAATATTTTGAGCAATTTTTGTTTTTATTTGATGGCATCAATAGCCAAAGTAAAATGTGGTATGAATTAGGATTTCAAAATTAGGACCAGATTCCTAGCTGTTGAAAACTGGTAAGCCTGAACTGAAGCCTGGATTACATCTGTTCACGACTATTCTGTTACTTTTCAAGCAACCCTTTTCAAATGTTAGCCTGACCCAGTGTAGGGAATCGGCACCGAGGATTTGAAATTAGAGGATATGAAACTTGGGCAGCACCTTGTTTCTGGGAAGGAGGCGGTCAGGGTATTTTTAGAGAATAGAAGAGGGGAAGGATGTCTGTAGGAAACTAGATCCTGCAGAGTGTGGCCTTTGGGAGTTCAGAGAAGGAGTGAGGGCTGGCAGCTTAGATAAAGGGTTAATGCAGCAGGTCTACTGCTTTGGACATTCCACTGGCCCTTCCTTTTCCTACAGCATGATTTTATTTTTAATCCTTTATTCCTCCATCTGTCCCTCTGGCTACCTTCTCTGGCTGCTTGAGGACTGCTTCAAGGCTGCTCTGCCATGGCTCCCAGGCCTCGCATGTCTCATCGCTTGCGCTCTATCCTGTCAGAAAGATGAAGGCAATCATGGGTGACTGAATTCAACAGACCAGAGTGCTCACAGCAAGCACGTGGCACTCAGTTGAGAGCTTCTGGTGCAGCTGCTAAGTTTGCTACCCCCTCAAAACTGGCCCTGACATCACAGGACTATTAGGAAGGACACTGAAGACTGACGGAATGGATTTTCAGAAGGAGCTTTTTAGTATCTGTGATAGACAGGAAAAATGTTGTAGGAGCTAGGAAGGACATTTTGCTAGGAGACAGGAGAGGAATGCAACTGCACCTATAGAGACTGCAAGCTCCTCAGCTGAATATCCCCTAGAACTTTTTCAAAGACACTGAATGTGTTTAGGAATCAAGCTCCCAGTGAAAATCATTGACTTGAAAAATCTCCCTATGTGTACAGTGCATGAAAAAGTACACCTGACATGCAGTCATGACATGAATGCTGTACCCTTACATTTCTGCGGAGAACTGTTGGAAGGGGAATGGCTGGCTGCAGGACTAGTGAAACTCAGAGCAACAAATGTTAAATTGTCATCCTATTATGAAAGGTGTCAATGTAAAAATGAAATGTCTTTACTCAACAGACCTATTCTCAGCATGTAGAATCAAAACTACTGACTAATAACAACAACAACAGAAAAGGCTTTACAGTTTATTCACAACCCTGAAAAGCCAATGCAGCATGGTAGGATAGGGAAATTGGATCCTAATCCAGGTACCAAAAGAAATATTTATTAAGAGACAATCAGATGTGTCTGTGAAGGGTCTCTGGTGAGCTGAGGGTTGTACAGGAGCTGCCAGAGACCTAAACTCAGCTTGCAGCACATTTTGTAGTAGTGATTGAAAAAAGAAACTTGCCTTGAATTGATTTCGTAGCCCAGAGGGGATTTACAAAGCTGACAGTCAAAGAGAAAAATATTGTAGGCTAGTAAACTGATTTTTAATGTGGTATGGTCAGTGAAGTAGCTTCCACAAACAATGTTGTTCGAGTCCTTTTCCAGGGCAAAACTGCTTTTCAGTTCACCCTTACAAATCTCACTTTGCACGTGTGTTGATCTGCACAGAGTTCCTTGCAGAAGGCAGAGCTATACTTGTCATACCTAATAGTACATACCCCATCCAGAGACCTGCTAATCCACGTCTTTCCTTCAGGACAGTGTAAAGAGACCTGAGAAATCCCAAGGAAATAATATATGACATTTTCCTAAATCCCTGTTTTGATAGACTGTGGTAAGGCTACTGTAAAACTTCCTTTGTGCTTCTCAAACAAGTGCAAGTTCAGTCTCAAATCCATAGAAGAAGGACAGTGATTACATGACTGCTTAGGATCTAGGGAACAAATATTCTCAGGATTTCTACATCTTCTCTGGCTTTACTTGATGAAGCTTTCTTGTTTTCACATGCAAAAGCTTGAAGGATTTGAGTCAGCTGGCCTTGTCTAGGATGAGAGACATCAACAATTTAGTAAGAGGAGCAGCAAAAACCATTTTGTTGCTTTTAACCAGGAACAGATTGGCTGACAGTATTTCATAGTTTACAACCTAGCCATCCACATGCAGATCAGTTCTTCACACAAAGATCAAGTCTTAAATTATTGTTATCTGCAGACAGAACATTAACGTTAAACAGTTTAAGGCCTTGTCTCAGTTTCCAGTTGCACATCAAAACTATTCCCCTTGACCAGATATGAACCGTCCCCTTGTTGGCATCTCAGCTGAGAAGGGTTAGGAAGAAGTGGCTTTGGTGCTGGATTTCATTCTTAACCCTAGAGCTCAGGACAGAACAGTGTGTGCTGTGGAGAAACCGAGGTTTTCAGTTTCCAGGGCTGTCAACTGGCTATGTTTTAGGAACACAGAACTGCAAAGAGACCTTTCTGGGTAATTCAATTCTTTGCTCTTGCAGGTAGCCATTTACCTAATCTTTTCCACTAACTGACTCAATGTTATAGTTAGCAACAGTATCTTTGTGCCAGTTAGAAGGCCCTTTCGAAAGTGTTTTAGAGCTAGGAAACCAAGCAAAGCAACTCCTCACCACCTCTGAAAATATTAAAGGAGGTAATTTTACCTCTGCTTTATTTGAGGCCTGTTTTCTGGTTAGTTTGAAAGTTATGTTTATCCTTTACCACCAGTTCATCTATTCATAAATTCATATTCAGTAAGAAGAGTATTTGAACTTTTTAAAAAATGGAAGCGTAACGATACTTATCTGAATATGTTCTGACAGTGACCTGCTGCTAAGGATGAACAGTTTGGGTTATCTGTGGAGAGGATCTCTGCTGCATTACAAGGTCTATTAACATAGTGCACATCTTAGGAGTGGAAGGGTCAAACCCACCCTTGATAAACCTTTATGGAAGCTGAGGGTTTGTTTAGTTTATGCTGCACATTTTTTATAGGAGGGTGAGGGGCACCAGGAGAATTGAGGGGCAGGAGAATAATGTTAACATTCCTCTTGTTCTTGCAGGCTCGGGGATCTGGAGGTGGCAGGAGACGAAATGATGCTGCCTCCCAGGATGATCATGACAAACCCTATGTTTGTGACAGTAAGTAGCACCTAGACAGCTGACTCCGCTTCCAGCCTGGTCCTGCCAGCTTGGTGCTCTCTGGGTTCATCTTTTCTTTTCCAGCAAAGTATTCTGCTGCTCTCTGACTTGCATGTTTGCCACCAGCTACTGCTGCTGCTCTTAGTGTGTTTTTTTTTTGCACGAAGGAAATAAAGTCCTCAGCAAGAACCCACTTCCCTTTGTGCTATAATAAATCATCTCTTCTATTTTCTTTCTCTTTCTCCTTCTCTTTTTCTGACTTCTAGGCTTTTTTCCTTCCCCCTGTGTAAGATCCACCCTCTATTTCTTTCTCTGTTCCAGACAGTTACAAACAAAAGCATAACCCAAAAATCTCTGACAGGTATTTCACCCCTGTATCACTTTACATACTTGGTGATTCCCTTCACTCCTTTGGAAATCTCACTGGGCTAAATTTTGAAGGTCTTATTTGCATCCCTTATTTAGAAAAGACTCCAGTGACATCATCAGGAGTTGAGCCCTCCTAAGAAAGAAACAGAATTAGAATGCTCTGTTTTGATACATATTCCCTTTCAATATAACCATGCTGTTTGATGTCTTTCAATGGGACTGCAGGTGAATTAAGGCATTGCCCAAACTTAAAAAGATAATAGAGTCCTATATATGAAGAAGGAGCCCAATATTTGGTACACAATATATATTTTTTTATTATCTGGGCCTTGGTGCCTTTCTTCTTGTTACATTCTTTTTTGGTTCACTATGTAATTTGTGCGAGGGGCACTTGCCTTACCCACATGCTTTCAAGATTTCTCATCTTAAGGCTTGATAAGAGCGTTTAGATGGTGAAGGGCCACGAAGATGGTGAAGGGCCTGGAGCATCTCTCCTATGAGGAAAGGCTGAGTGATCTGGGTCTGTTCAGCCTTGAGAAAAGGAGACTGAGAGGGGACCTGATCCAGGTCTATAAATATCTAAGGTGTGGGGGGCAGAATGGCGAGGCCAGACTGTTTTCAGTGGTGAGTGGAGACAGGACAAGGGGAAACGGCTGGAAACTGCAGCATAGGAAGTTCTGCACAAATGTGCACAAGAACTTCTTTACAGTGAGGTGACGGAGCACTGGAACAGGCTGCCGAGGGAGGTGGTGGAGTCTCCTTCTCTGGAGATGTTCAAGACCTGCCTGGATGCCTACCTGTGCAACCTGCTGTAGGGAACCTGCTTTGGCCGGAGGGGTTGGACTCGATGATCTCTGGAGGTCCCTTCCAACCCCTACAATTCTGTGATTCTGTGATTCTGTATGTGCAGTAAAAATTTGTACTAGAGTGCCTTCTATCATACAAGGCAACGGCAGCATAACAAAAATTAATAGAAGTAGGAGAATAACAGGAAGTCTTAACTTTTTTGACCTAAAAGTGATTGATGGTTTTGAGGAAAATTAGAACGCCCCTGTCTCCGCAGTTTAACTACCTTGCAGTGATACAGACCTTAAAAGACTGACACTACTATGTCAGTCTCTGAATGTTTTCTGCTTATTTTAAAAACATGAAGAAACATGGGCATGCATTGAAAATGAAAACTATATTCCATGTGGTCAAATAATCTTTCATAGTGAGACCAAGTGACTGCATAGTACAGTGATGAACATGTTGGGTATATTGCTTCAGCAAGGTGAATATTCTTAGAGCTACTGGGAATGAGTAGAAGGGGAGAGACTTTCACATAAATGGAAGTGTCTGAACTGAAGAAGAAGAGCTCTTTACAGTTTGAAGGGCTGAGAGATTTCTACTGTAGTTAAATAGCTGCTCTCGCCTGTTGGAAGAACTACTCTCTGTCTCCAAAGGATTATCTAGGAGGCCACTCTGTATCTTGTTGATTTCCACAGCTTTCTTCTGCTGGTGTACACAGAACTCTCTTCACCACTTTTCTGGAAAATCCCTCTAAATCCAAGGACACTTGTCAATAGTGCAGTTGTTCCAAGCGTAATGTCTCTTTACTGTCTGATCTTGTTCTGCTTTTGGAGGGAACTCACAACATGCGCAGTAGTGATTTGCACTAAGTAGATAAAAATCTAAGATTCCAAAGCAGGCGGCAGAAATCTGAGCTGAAGTCTCTGTTTTGGTACATCATTGTACTGACGGAATTTTGCCTTGGCTTATGTTTTGAAGCATAAATTTTCTTGGTTTTGGAAGTTTAAACTTTCCTATTTCGTTTGGCTGATGCTTTTCATTTTTAAGAAACGTGTAGTCAGAGGGTGAGTCATAAGGAATTCTAGAATCCAGATTTTATACAGTAACTACTTCATTTTCCACTGTAGATAGCTGAGAATAGGGTTATGTGTTAGCAGAACCCTTACCTGATTGTCCAGCAGAAGAACTGTCACAATTGCAGTGCCATCATCCTGAAATGGAATACTTTGTTTGCTTACTTTCTGTACAACTGTTACATATAATTCAATGTGAGTAATTGGCTTGTCAATTTGAGACTTCTTTCCTGCTTGGGTGATCACTGCACCAATAAATGATTTCCTTAATAATTTTTTTTTCTTTGAAATAATCTGCTAAATATGTTTATAGATAAATCTCTGTGTGATCATGATAGTTTAGATTCAGTTTGCAGTTCTCCATGGAGAGATGTTTTGGATAGATATGTTAGTTTTATGTGGAAACATACAGGCAATAAATAATTAATTTGCTTCCTGTTTGGGAGAACATTATTCCTTCAGTCACGTTATTGATATGAGTAATTACCATAATGGGCGGTCATTGCTTTTTCTCTGTATTCTTTAACTTTCCTCCAGGTTGCTTTTTTCTGTCTGTGTTCTGATATTTGAATTTGGAATGTGCTCACCAAGAAGAAGGTATGAGCACATCTCAATCAAATTATTTTTGGTATTTCAATGTATGACCACAAAAATGCACATTTTTGCATACTTGTGTGTTTGTATTTGTAGGAAGTAAGTGTATATCACTAAGTTTCTCCAGGAATGGACAGATTTTGTGGAACACCTAGTCTGTATCAGTAAAATGATGCAAGAACTGCATCCAGCTAACCTTGCCCTTTGTATGTAAGACTGCAGTGTTACTTCTGAAATGGCCTACTGTCGTTGGAAGAAGCATTCAGCTAGACACAAAAATGAACACATATCTCAGTATTAAAGCTGACTGGAAATTTGGAACCTCTGTACTGAGGGATCTTTTCAAAGCTCTCAAATTTTTTTTTGTGTCATCTGATGTTCTTAAGAAAAGGTGGAACCTCTGTTTAGTTGTTTGCTTGCTTTGTGGAATTAAACTTCAGTTAATTTTACTGAATATTTACTGTATCAGAAGTTCAGAATGAAATATCTGGTCATTCAAAGCTGCTAACATAATCATGACATTCTTTATTTTATTAAAATGGCGAGTGGTAAACTAGTTGGCCAGATTTTCACCAGCTGCACTGGACAGTGTTGTGCCTTGACCAGTCTTAAGAAAAAAAGCTTGGATAATAGAAGTGGCAGAAATACCTGGTGTGAGATGGGTATAGGCAGGAAATGGTACCACAGCAGAATGATCAGCTGCTGTATCATAGCAGACCCAAATGTAGCCTGAATACTTGGGTAAAAGAGCAGATGCTTGAATGGATAGTGAAAAGCAGGCTTGAGGAACAAAGCAAGATCTGTGGTGTCAGTCCAGAGATGTTGAAGATACTCTGCCACAGCTGTTCGAGATAAACTGGGCACAGGATTTTAAAGGAGGAAGAGCATGAATGGAATGTTACATACCTACATATGCAACAAGAATTGATTTTGTGTGGTTGCCAAATGATATACTGGGGAACCATCATTCCGCCAAGTCTTTTAGTCTTAGAAAATCATTTTACTATTTTCATATTGAGTGTTATGTGTTTTCTTTTTTGGGGGGGGGGGGGGGATGGGGAGTATATCTGAAGTTCTACCTGGAAATTTGTTTTCTGGTTTAAAAGTTGCAGTCAGTTGTAGCACTAATCTTCATGACTCTGGATGTCTACTTCCTTCAGCTATGCTACTTAGTTTGTGCTGAATCTCCAGAAGTTACCAACTTTCCTGCTGCCATCTTCATTTGCCTGCTTTCATTCTTCTCATTTTCTCCCTTGCCTGCTTTCATTTCATTTCCCTACTGTGACTTATGGACACACATAATTTCTTCCACCTTTGTTTTCTCTCACTCTATCTGTGGAAAATTTCCCTACCCGTCTCTAAAAGATGTTGCTTCTTTCTCTTTTGTTCTTTTTACCTTTATATCCTTGTCTCCTTTTAGTTTTATTTCTGTACATACTATAATTGTAGAGTAACAACTTATGTTTGTATGATAATCTTTATTTATAGTTCCTCTGAGGCTGCGATATGCATTCACATCCATCCCTTGTCCAAAAATGAGAATTGACTGAAACCTTCTTATGATCTCTGCTGGATCAGTGACTAATGCAACCTTACATATATCTAGAGACACAGATCCCTACAATCTTTTGTTGAAGCTGGTTCTTTTGTCAAAAACATTTTAGTTTCAGGTTTCTCTAGATACTTAAAGTGAGTTTTCTCTGCTATCTCCTTTCTGTGTCTGAAAACAGTTAGTGTGGCTTCTTTCAGCCATTTTTTCTTCAGATCTTTTAATAAACTTGTTTCTTTTCTCTGAAAGATCTTCAAAGGATCTTATTTAAATAGCAGTGGCCAAAACTAAGTAGAAGGTGCGGTTCTGAGTATGAAGCAGCTCAGAAGAAAGATAAATGACTGATACATTTACATGTCACTTATATTTACCTATAGAACTTGGATTTGTGCCAGTTGCTCTGTTAGATATCTAAGAGAGATACAGAGATGGCTGATCTTTTAGCTTATTTAGTAAACCCATTTGCAATGCAGGACACTCATCTCCAGTGCTATGCTTTCATGTTTCAGTGGCAGACTTTTCACCTATGTCCACCATATGAGCTCATATTTAATAGGCCTGTTGCTATAACTTCTTGTTCCTTTGCTGATCCACCTACTCCTACTGAGTCTGAATATCTGTCA